GTGAGAGAGACCCTGAGGTCTCGGTCACATTGGAGATGTGCAGCACATGGGGCAGGGACAACCATGGTCCCATGCTCTGGTGTGGAGATAGATGGAACATCAACATAGGGCTGTGGACAAGGGGTTTGATCTCCCTTCTGTATGAGCCGTGTGTCAGCAGTAGGGGTGGGTGATTTTCTGTATACATGACAAACCCGAGAGAGGTGTTTGGATGCATGAACCAGCCGTAGAGGTGCGGGTGAAGGCTGCATGGAGCAGACATCTCTGACAATATGGAAGCTTAGGAAAAACGTGTGGATTTGATGGCTGGTGCCTCCCATTCCCATCCCGATGGAGCCTGGGCAGGATCCGTGGCCATGGGCAGGGGCTGCGGCAGCCCTGCCTGCACGCTGCCAGACACAGCACCGGGGTCAAGCTCTAGCCATGGGTGAGTGCTGCTGGGTACAGCCCTTGCTGCGGGTGTCTGCCGGTCCCCTGGGTGCCATAAAGCACTCCTCCGGGGCCGTTCGCTGCACTTCTCTCACCAGCCCTAAATTCACATAAATTGGATAACGTAAGGGAAAAAACAACAACGGCGAAGGAAACGCAGTGTCCTCAGCGCGCTGTCCTGTCCCCTCGCTCCCTTGGGCAGCTCCACTCCTCCGTCACCAAGTCAAGGGGCAACTGGGGAGCAGTCAGGGACTTGTGAACTACTGGGTTGGGGACAAAAGTCACCGCAAAGAGGAGCAAAGGCAGCGCTCAGAAGTGGTGATGCACGGATGTTGGTATGCTTCCTCCTGCCTGAGCATTGCCTTCACTGCAGCAGAGCCCTCAGCCTGGAGGAGGGTGGTAAAAGCAGGGGAAAGCACAATTGTGCCTCTGAAGTGAGTGATCATGAAGCGGGTTACTCCATTCTCTGCACACCTCTTCACTGGGCTGATTCTGAAAGGCGCTGGTTGCACTTTATGATCATCCAGGGCTATCCCCTTGTGCTGGCTGGTGAGTGCAGGGGGATGCAGGATCCTGGGGACCCTCTGCCCTGCCCCACTGCAGATCCTGACCCCTTCACACACCCCCAAGTCAGCAGATCCCAAGCCAGACCCCGGCTCCTGGGACTCCCAGGGGTGACAGGGGAATGGCAAGAGGGGCAGAAGCTCCTGGGAACCCTCTATTGCTGCTGGCAGCCAGGGCCAGGGACACTGCTGGGATATGTGGGGGGCCACGAGCAGAAAGCTTTGGGAACGGCTGCTTTAGGCACAACATCCATTGAGAGGAAATTAATTTAGTCACGGAGCAGTCCCTCAGGCCAGGGCAGGAGGGCAGAACTTGAAACAAAACAATCACAGGCACAGTAAAAATGTCCTGTCCTGTCCTGTTCCCTTCCTACAGACCGGCTCTGGAGCCGTGTGAAAAGGCCGCAATTCCTGGGAATGCTGGAGCAGCAGCAATGGAGGTCGCCTCATGGGCTCCCTGCTTGCTCCCACTCATGTACCCCTCTGAGATGCAATAGCCGGTGGGTTAAGTAGGGGATTGGAAGGAGGAGGTTATCTGGTTTTGCTTTGCAGATTACAGGCAGTTTCTATCAGATTGGTTTTGTCAGGCAGGAATATCTTTGGAAGCAAAAGGAATTGCCACAGATGCGACACCTACTGCTGTTCTCTGAACCCATTTCCATGCCCCTGTGAGTGACCAGGTGCTGGACATGGCAGGAAAGCATCCTGCGCTGAAACACTCTAGCACCAAGTGACCTGGGGAAAATGCAAATGGTGCGTCTGCATCTGCTTTACATGCTGAGAAGAGCAATGGGGTTATTCTAATATTGCTCCTGGTCCCTGGGAACGCTGGTGCTTTGGAGGAAATAAGAAGGAATTTGCTCCTCTCACCCTGTCTTGCTCTTTTCCAGAGCTGACCATGTGCCTGCAGTGGGATGGAGGTGCTGCTGATGTTGTTCTAAAAGGTCTGATTTGAAAAGAGAACTGCACTGACGGTCAAATTCCTTGTGTCTTTGGTTTGATGGTCTGTGTCAGAAATAACAGGACGGCAGCTGTGTTTTGTAGGTACTTCAGAGTCTGAACAAGAGGAAAAACGGGTTTGATTTTCTAAAAACTGGTGTGGTTGGGAAATTTTCCATCTCCACTTTTTCCACTGGGAGCATTCCCGGTTAATGGAAGCTTTTACAGAAAGCATTTGCTTTCTTTAACACCGATGTTTTTTTCCTTGCCTTTCCAGCTCTAATGTCTGGTTGAATTCTTTTACGTTTTGGTGGTTCATATTCTTTAAAGCAAACAGGCAATGTTTTCTGTGGCAAAAGTGTGTTTATTCACCAGTATTACAGTGGGCCTTCAACGAAGGTCTGAAATGCTCTAGTCAAGTGTGAAAGCAGGGAATACTTGTCCCATTTCTGGTGATCGGCTCGTGATGAAAGCCTGCTCTAAATGCAGGTTCCTCTTTCACTGAATCAGCAGAGGGATAAAAATCCCAAACACACCTTTGTTTCCTGGGAAAACAAACCCCAACCTGATGTGGAAATAAAGCAGGAGCAGTTCACCTGCAGGGCAGGGGATCTAGCAGCACATAGCCAGGAGAAGAGGAACTGTGAAGAGACAGATGTGTGTCTGAGTGGATGCATCTCCTTTCTCCCTTCTCACTCAGCTGAAATGCTGAAAGCCATGGGGTTACATTAAAATGACAATGAAGAAACCAACTGGATAAATGATAACACTAAATACGATATAGCTTGCATTAAATCAAAATTCAGCAAACAAACCAAACTTATAAAAGGAGGTATTTTGACAAGTATTTGGAATCAGTGTGTACTGTTCTCCATTGGTCAAACCTGCAGGAAAGCTGCTATGGGAGCAGTGGGAACAGGGGGATGGGTGGCACATAGCAAAGGTAGCACAGAAACACCCAGTATGATCTGAGAGCAGCAAACGTGGGGCATGGCATCCATAATGCTGCTTTGTGGGAAGGTGAGAGGATGGAAAACAAGCCATTCGGATGGGGAAGACCAAGTCTGATGGCATGGCTCGGTGGTGTGTCACCACACTGTGCTCCTGCAGAAGAGGCTTTATGCTTGGAGCAATGTTGTGTGTAGGAAACAGATTGAGCCAAACCGGGAAGCTTTTGATGCTGGCAGCAGAAAGGATTGCTCCTGCGGAGCGCTTTACAGTTCAGCCTGTCTCTGATGAATGAAGCTCATCCTCACTGCAGCCTGTGCTCCCTCTGGCAGCACAGGGGTGGAAGTGGAGCCAGCCCAGCGCTGCCCCTGTGCTTATTTCACGCTCGAGGTGGAACATGAATTCTAATCGCACACTCTGCCCTTAAGTACACAAGGTTTCTAATCACGTTTAGTCTAACCTTTTAAAACTGGCACCTGGTTTCTTGCTTTGCCCTCACTTGCTGTGGGATATTTGATTCACAGTTAGGTGGTGAAGCAATGCAGCGGGTGAAGCTGTGCACAGAGGAAGGTGTGGGCAAAATCTTTGAACCCCCAGCACTGGAACTGGGGGAAAAGGCTGTAGGTGGGTAGCACTGAGGATCTGCACTTGGGATTCCAACACACGTGGTCTTTTTGTCCCCCTCTCATCTTGTTGTTCTGGGTGACTCCCCTTTGGCTGTACATGTTAAGCAGTTACTTTTATGCTTGCATTGGGATTTCAACAGATGTGGTCTTTTTGTCCCTATCTCATCTTGTTCTGTGTGACTCTCCTTTGGCTGTACCTGTTAAGCAATTACTTTTATGCATACGAAGCGGCGTGATGAAATGTCAGTGAAGCACCTTTGTTAGTAAGTGATTTTGTATTAAAAATCATGGCAACAAAAATCTTCTGTCACCTGTGTGGCAGGTGGCTCACAGGTTCATCTCTGTCGGGCAGCGGTGGGAGAGGTTCTTTGAGGTGGTTGGTGGCTCTAAGTACACTGGCCTCCCTAAACCACACTGTGATCCCAGTGGATCCACCCAGGCATACGTGGGCACACCAGGATCTCCAGGTGTGGAATTCAACTGCTCCAGGCCAGGGGCTGTGGGTGTCCCCAGGGAGAACAGAGCCTTGCTGGGGTTTGGCTGCTTTGGGGACAGGGATGTGTGGTCCAGCAGGTCAGGCTGGCACAGCAGCCCTCTCATTTCATCCCTGCAGGGATCTGGAAATCCCCTGGTAACTGTGAGCTCAGTGTGTTGTGTCTGACTGTGGCTAGAAAGGACCTCGGTTTTTTTTTTAGGTTGACATCTGAATCATGTCTCTTTTTATAGCCAAGCAGTTGGGATGCTGATATTGCAGCTCCCAGCCCAAACCCAGCGCCTGCTTGGGTTAACGGCCATCGTCATGCGGGGCACAAGAGAACATATTTTGTTCCTTTCCCAGAGAAGCAAGCCTCTCTCTGGGGATGCTCTTTGTGCACAGGCTCTGCTCTCACAACGGGATCCTGCGAGCAGCCCTTGCTGCTGGCCAGGGATGGGCTCCTACTCACAGGGCTGCACTAACCAGGCTACAGCCCCTGTGTGCACTGCACTGTACTGCACTGCGCTGTGTCTGCACTGGGGGCTGCAGCTTCAGCTGCCCAAAGAAAGGCAGCAAGATGATACATTGCACAGTTGTGTCTTCCAGGATGCTACATCCCCATCACTTGGAACAGCTTCCACTGTTCAGGAGAATCCAAGTGGGGCTTTGAGCAGGTCTTGAAGGCCTCTGTGACTGAGGATTTCTGTGGCTTGGGTCTGCATAGCAAATCCATGCGTGGCAAATCCATGTACAGCTCTCATCCAGGGTATGCCACTGCCGGTAAGGCTCCCAGTTCCCATGTTTCATGGCAGATCAGCCATTCTCCATCCTCTGTGCTCTGGAAAGCCTTTGGCAGGGAATCACAACATGCTGTGCTCCTGTTCCCAATTAGTGACAATTAACTAATGAACTGGCTGATTCCCTGTTACCTCGATCATGGGTGACAAATCACAGCTTGGTTTTCTGATTTGCTCATTAATTGCTGCATTTGTTTGTTCAGTTGTCACTCACACCAGTTAAGACATCTTTGGCTGCTGACCCCTTTTAATGGAGCTAGGAGTTAACCAGTGATGGATTGCATTCACCTGAGGGCAGCTCCATTGCTGACCTGGCAGGAAAGGCTGTGATTTAAAAGCCTGCTGAGTATGTGTAGATAGGTAAGGAATAATTGGTTTATAAAAAAATAAATCATTTCTTTTGCACTCAGTTTGCACAAGTGAAAACTGCTGCACATGTAACATTGGGGCTTTTTGGACAAATTGCTGCTGTCTTGTACTCCATTGTTTTGGCTTTTAAAGCAATGGTCATACATGAGAAAAGTTTATTTAAGGTTTAAAAAGCCCACCCAGACACATAAAATAGAGTGAAAAAATGATGATTACATAGCTTGATCTGTTGGAAGGACCATTGTGACTGGACCCTTTGTCCATACAAGCTGTTGTGGCTCTGTGGGAATCAGTTTGAGGAGGGTCCCATCCATTGCAGAGCTGGGGCACTGTGCTGCAGTGAGTTAACTCTTGCCCAGTGTTAACAGGCATTTTAAGTGGAATATCAGCAGAAGTATTAATTTTGATATTAGGAATTTTTCCAGTCAATGCCTTTCTTTATAAAACAGCTTTTTAACTTCTGATGTTAAAAAGGATGCCTGAGTAAAAGTCACCCACGGTGGTGTTTCAGTGTGATCTTTTCATTTTGCCACACTCAATGCCACTGGTTGAATGCAAAAGCACATGCAGGTACTGTTGTTTTAGTGGGAACAGCACTGTGATCCTGCCTTGAGAAGCAGGGATCAGCCCTGCTGATGAGAGACCCAGAGCTAGCAAGGTAACCAATGTGTGAGATGAGAAAACAGAGTGTGGAACTGTGTGAACACACAGAGCATGAAGCATGCAATGACTGGGGAGAAATGCATGTGGTCTTTAAAACTTAATGCAATAATCCTGAAGAATGCTTTTAAACCTGCCTGTTCAGTGCATGCTGTGGTTTTAGTTGGGTGTCTTGTGTTTTTGCAGAAGTGGTTTATGCATTTCAAGGTTTCAGCTGAGAAAAAGATTCATAATAAGTTATTCTGTATTAGTTTAGACACAGCAGGAGCATCAAAGAGTACCTGCCTGGAGTGATAAAGACTGAGGAAAGGTAGCCCACTATTCCCAGGAGGTTTGAGCTCTATCTGCTCAAGTCCTGCAGGCACTGCTCCTGCCTTTGTGAGGTTTTCCTGGAGCTGTCGAGCCCCATCCCACAGAGCTGGCACTTCGTACAGGCATACGTACCAGGCATACGAAGCAGAGCTGTAGAGCCACTTCCATGCACTGGCCAAAAGCAGCTTACATCCTGCATCCTGTGTCCTGCATCCTGCATCCAGCATCTGTATCAGGTTCTGCTCTGAACCTGAGAGACTGCAGCCAGGGCTGGGTGGCTGGAGCTGAGGATGCAGCTGGTGGGCTGTGCGCCCCTGCCATGGACCTGCGGAGGCTGGAGGTGGGCAGGGGACAGGCAGGGTCCATGGTGTCAAGGTGACTTCTCCAAGGACTGTGTATTTGACAGCAGGAGTTAATAATCAATGATCCTTTGGTGTAAGGAGAGTCCGTTTTGCTAGAGCAGAACTGGAATGCCTTACCCAGGTGCAGGAAATCAAACCGTCATCACTGTTGGGCAAGCCTGACACCAGTCACTTTCTGTTCAGAAGGAAGAATAATCATGTTTTTTCACTCCCTGGAAGTGGAGGAGTCGCTGCGAGTGCTCTGAAGGAGAGGACCTGAATTCAAAGTGATTCTAACAAATTGGTGAGCTGGCTCAAGATCAAGCACCTGAAAGTAAATAAAGAGAAGGACAAATCACTGACTTCAGGAAAGAGGAGGTAAACACATTACTGCAAAAGGGGAATAATTACCGAGGCAGCAAAGGTTGCATAAATGGAGCTGGGCTTCATTTTTGGAGCTCACTGCCCTGGTTAATTATTTGACCCCACAGATGCATTCCTGGGTCCTGGGCAGGTATTTGGTGTGAGAGAAATGGCACAGGAGTCAGGGACTGGGGTGTATAGAAACATACACTTGCACACACTGTATGGGTATTTCTAGGCATATGCCCAATTCTATACTCACATACACGCACACAGGCATGCATATATACTTCATTATCCTGGGAAGGACTGAAGTCCCTTTTGTATCCCTCAGCATAGATTTTGTTCAAGTAGTGATGAGCAGCAAAGTTGATTCACTTTCTTTTACATATATATTAATTGTATAATGTACATTAGGCAGATGCATTTTGGTTTTGTTCTGGCTTCTCTATCTTTACGGTAACAAGGTAAGATGTTCTGCTCATATCACAGTATCACAGTATGTTAGAGATTGGAAGGGACCTCAAAAGATCATCTAGTCCAATCCCCCTGCCGGAGCAGGAACACCTAGATAAGGTTACAAAGGAACGTGTCCAGGCGGGTTTTGAAGTCTCCAGAGAAGGAGACTCCACAACCTCCCTGGATGCACCTCATTTTAATGGACAAAACCATTCCTCTATAGCTATTTGTGTGCATAAATTGAAGCTCACTGTATGGGGCCAGTGCTTGCACGTCATGTGCTTGGTGTTTGATGAATGATTCATAGCTATGTGTACGGAAATATTTAGTTAATATCTCAGATGTCAGGAAGCGATGCTCAGTAATACGTTGCTTTGTACCTTGGTTTTGCAGGTCCCATATAACTGGTTCCTGCTGCACATGCCCTTTTCTGACAGCTGTTTATCAGCATCTTGGTTGGGTCGAGGCCACATTGTCTGCCCAGCATATCCGTGGGCACAGCCATATCCTCCAACTTGGAGCAGCCTCAGGGTGATGGAGGCAGGGTACCGGATCCCACTGGAATTGTTCTGCTTTTTATTCCTCCTTGCTGACAAGTGAGATTTCAGGGCAACTGGAATAAATGAGGTTACACAGCAGCACAGTAAAAAACAGTCAAACAAGCAAAAAAAGTAGTAAAAGTATTATATAATCTCCCAACAGCTTGAAACTGGAGACCCTTTGTATATATTATGTATATGTATTTCCACCATCCTGTGTTAGGCCAGCTTGTTATTCTCAGGGTCTGTGCAGGCTCCATTGATTTTTATGAGCTTTGAGGCCATAATGAGATGAAGCAAGAAGCATTTTAGCATGAACAATGTCATTATGGAGCCATGTAAAAAACCCCACAGCCAGGCAGGTTCAGCTCCTGCAAGAAGGTGCATGGTGAGAGTGTTTATTACCCTTAGCAGAGGTTATATACGTTGGGCATAGCCCACGTAACCCCTGACACCCTTCCTCTCTCCCCAGGGCAAATGCCCTGTGGTCCCTCCCCTGCCTGTAACAGGTACTCCCAAGCCTGCACATGACAGGGAGAAAATGGGAGCATGTGGGTTTCCCTGTAGAAACCCTGGGCATCTGCCTTGTGACGGTCTGCCACAACCTAAACTGGACCTTCTGGATTATCAGATCAGCCTAGATTATGGGATCAGCATGACCAACACCCTACTCTAGTTTTAATAGGCTTAAAATCACTGATTCGAATAGAGCATTGCTACTGTATCCCAGGGGGAACTGGGCTCTAGGGCAGGAGATGGCATCCTTCTGCATTCCTTTGCACTAAGCAAAAAACAAGTGCATCTTCAGAGGCTCTGGTGGGGATTTTTATTTGCAATGCTGCAGTATTAATGGTAATGATTATGGAAATCAGTGCTGGGTTAATGCCAAGAAATTCAGGCTCTTTTTCAAGATTTTATTTCCAAAAATTGAGTGAGCATAACTTTGGGTTCTGCACTGGTGCAAGCAGAGGATGGAGGGTTTAAATAAATAAAGGATTTCTTTGACAGAAACTGTTTGAATCCCATGAACCTTATAGTGACATGGTGTAGAAGCATCTTAACACTAGGTTCTTTGAGCAAGTTCAGTGTTCCTAGATAAACGAAAACAAGGGAAAAGAAATGCTTTTGATACGTGGCGTGAATTCATGGAAATTCTCTTTCTCTACTGCAAACGCTTTCTAAAGCTTGAATGAGTCTGCAGCATCCAAGTTGTTCCTCCCCTCTTGCTGGTCTGTGTGCAAGTCAGCTTTCCTGGCTTGTTTTTCCCTCCCAGTAATGCTTTGATGATGTAGTTTCCAAAACAAAACAACAGCTATCAGAGCAGCCCTGTGCAGAGCCCCAACAAGAAGCCAGTTTGTGCACTAGAGCAGGAATGCTTGATGACAATGGGCTTCTGCTGTATTTTTCCATGAGCTTATTTACTACAGGCAATCTGAGGACTACTTTTGGGGGTTAGTTTGGGGTTTTTAACTAACAAAAAGACATACCATGGCAAAAAGCATGGTTTATGCAGTCAGGTGATGCAACCTGTGGTACGACATTACCAAAGAGTTTAATAGTACTTTACCAGCATCTTAAATTGATATGTAGCACTGTGCTATGTTGTCACTGATCAGCAAACTCATTAACACAATGAATATTGAATAAGTGCTCAAGATCAAATAATTATGTGCATTGCTTGTGTTTCTGTTTTGTCACCAAAGACTCATTGACTCAAGTAGGGTAGGTTTTACAGTACTTACTCTCAGTATGAAAATCTGTATACTAGCTGGGTAGCTATGCAGGAATCATGCTTGGGATTTACTCATGCACACATTTAGGAGACACTCATAATTATCTCTGTCCTTAGTATAGTCCCAAACCTTATCCAACACCCATGACATTCAGCAGCTTTCTACTGAAGCACTAATCTGCCTTCTCCAGGGAGGGGCATGCATGCGACTGCACATCTCTGTATTTTAGTGAATTTACCAAAGTTGGGTCTCTTGCAGACTGAGTGCAGGGGGTGAGGACTAGGAAAAAGCTCTAGGATAAAGAGAATTTCCCATGCAAAACCAGCCAGATAAAATATCCTGGCTTTCTTGCTCTCACTGCTTGCGATGGGCCACATCCATACACAAGAGTTCCTGAGCGGCTGCAACTCCAGCTGTAAAACAGTGGCCTGGAATTGAAGTTTTGCCAGACCTCTTGTATCATGGGGACTGTAAAGTTGGATTCAAGATAGCTATTGGAAAAACAGCTATTTCAGATGCAGCAGTAAACTGAAATGCAATTAAATTTAGCTTGATGCAGTGTTTGTGCTTTTGATTATTCCAAAGCATGTTTTTTTCTAAATAAAAATGTTTCCAAGTGTATGAATTTTGAAAGCTGGGAGGAGCTGGGGGTGACTCAGAAAACCCTTTCATTCTCACAGCATTCTCTGCTGTAAGATCAAGTGTGCTTGTTTTTCAGTTGTGGGGCAGCCACAGCTTTGCCTGAATAAGAACTGAGGGGCTGCAAGGGGCCACGAGCATCTCCTCCTGCTGCTGGATGATGTTGGATGTTGCCCCAAGCCCCCAGTGTCCTGTTTGGCATAGATGAGGTTTTTGCTACCGCAGTTCCCTTCACTCTCTTCCCACTGCAGGCAAAGGGAGTGGCCATTAAAACCTCATGGCTGGATCCTTCAATCCAACCAGGACTAGACCCCAGCTGTGGCCATTCAAAACCCATGGAGAAGCTCTGTGAGGCTCATGTCTATCCGTGAGGCTGCTTTCCCACCACCACTGTGCCCAGGGCTGTGCCAGCACAGCACTGACCTTGTTTTCACTAAGTGCCTCTTTACTGAGCCCCTCGTGGGATTCTGTACTTGGTCACTTATGTGAGAGGACTGACGTGCAGACGGAATGATGAAATCTCAGATTGGACTCTCACGCCTCGATGAAGGGAAACCCCCAGCAGCGGTGTCTGCCAGTACAACAGTTTCCATTTGCAGAACCAAAGCTGTTCCCTCGCTGCACAGACACACACAGCAGGCAACAACCCCACACAATTAGCAGTAAAGCATTTTAATTCCACATAGTGACAGCGTTGAACTTGCTGGCCAGCTCCATGAGCTGCATCACCCGCTGCAAGAGGGCCCTTCTTCCACTGCACGGGCACTGGGATAGTGGGCTCTGGCCGCAGGTACCAGCCATGCGGCACAGAGCTGTGGGTCGGTGCTATGGTTATTTGCTCAAATTAACATTTATATGAATGTGAACTCCTATGGCAGCCGCAGGGTGAGTTTATTTTGACTGGATTTAATGGTTTTGAGAACCAGTTGGAATTTTTCCCCTAGCAGAAGTTGAGAAAAAGAAAATAAACCAAGGAAGGTTGAAAAGGAATAAAAAGCCTCTTTTTTTCTGCTTATGGATCTTTTGCTGCCTGTGCTGCATGCACAGTTTGAAGAGCACCCTCAGCAGCTGTGCTCATCACCCGTGAACCACACAGGGCACTGGGGAGCTCTGGAATGGTCAGGAAGGAGGAAGGTTCTGGAGCCATCCTGGGAGAACTGGAAAAGCCCTCATGCCTCTGTGCAGGTCTGGGCTCCAAGGAGAGCTCCAAATCAGGCAGTTTCCATGCAGGGTGTGATCATGGGCAGCCCTGGAGAGCAATGCTGCAGGCTGGAGCGCTGCCGGTGGGCAGCAATGGCTAGGCTGCCTTGAGAGCCTGGACCTGTGCTGCTGGAGCTGCTGAGGAGCTTGTTTGTTGGTCTAGTAAAGCAGACAGGAAAGTGATGGACACGGGGAGCTGTTTGTATGCTGGGAGTGGGGACACGGGCTGCCCTGTCACAGCTGGTGGGAGCACAAGCCCCCGAAGCATCTGCACTGCTTGAAATGCAGTCCCTGTTTGGGTGTGGAGGGATAACGCTGCAGCCCCTTCCATGAGAGAGCAGAGACCGTGGGGCTGGGCTGCGCCTTGTATAACCAGCTCCGTGCTCCCCGCTGCAGCTGCAGTGCTCCCATCCAGCCTCCGCTGCCAGCAAGGCAGGGGAGGACCCTGCCGCTGCAAGTGCAACGTGAGCAAAGGGCCCAGCCTGCAGCCAAGACACTTAAAGTAAAACTAATGAAAACCTTCCGTGGCTTAGCCTTTTAATCCAAAGTTCAGGGCTCAAGGCGTATGATCCCTCACCTCACCAGTGCGCGGCTCACGGAGCCAGCCGCTCCTGCGCCTCTGAACCACACACAGCTGGCAGCGCGTTAGAAACAGCCCTGGGAACAGGCTGACACTGGCAAGGGAACAAACAGGATGAATCCTAGGAGAGCTCTTTCACAGCTTAGCATTGATGATTCACTATTGCAATAAAACGTATTCTGCAGTTACACACCATGCTTTGAGGCACTAGGCTGCCACATGTCTGAGCAACACAATTGGCATAAGCCTCTTTTCTGCATTAGGAGCCGCTCAGGTCTGGTTTGTGAAGCAATGAGTGCCTGTGTCATTGTAAGTGACACATCATCTGAGGGTAAACAGGAACACTGTCTGCTCTGTCTCACCTGAGGTGGGTGTCTCACCAGTGCTGCTGACCCAGACAGGTCCCACAGCACTTTTACCATCATTCTGTGCCCTGCAAGACACTGAAGGAGCCGTGCAGAAGCCAAAGGCAAGCCTCTTCTTGACTTCACTGGAGCCAGGATTTTACCCAGTCACCTCCTCCTTCAGAACTCTCCCAAAAAGGCAGAACAATGAAAAAAAAAAGCCTTGCACATGGTGAGCTGTTATCCCCAGCGATTCCCACAGCAGTTTTATTGCCTGAAGGAGGAAGAACGTGAACCCTGGAGGGAAGAACTTGCCAAAGTATGTATCATTTCTACATCTTGCATGGAGCTCAAGGTTCCCAAAACCTTTAAAAATAACTGCAGGGATGTTTATCCAAGGCCTAAGGCTCAGCTAAGTAGAGCTGGAGATGTGGCTTTCTGGGGAAGGCAGCACAGGGGAATGTGCATCAGTGTGCTGGATCTGCTTGGAGCTTGGGGGCTGCAGCAGCCAAGCCAGAAGTGTTCTTGCAGAAGCCAGATTTTTGGTTAGAAGGCCTGCGAGTGACCCCTGCTCTCCTGAACATTCCTGCCTGCACTCTTTATGTCCCTACTGCTCTGTTAGGGTGGTGGAACCACAGTAAAAACGGTGCCATGTGCTGCTGAGCTAGTGGCACTGATTGCAAACAATGTTAAACACAGCCACCTTGTCCTCTTTCATAGGAATGGTTTAATGATACTGTAAAATACTCCTGAAAGAAAAAAACAGTTCCTGGTGGTTGTTTAACTGCCAAGTAATGAAAGCAGGAGCCTCCTGGTTGCATGAGGCTGTGCTGGTGGATACAGTGGGACTCTGCTGCGGTGGCCGTGACAGGCTCCAGCAGTCAGAGTGCAGCTCCCGGCGGCACTCGGAACCCCCAGACCAGAGCGGGCAGAGCTTGGGGAGCAGCGCCCGGGGCTCGGGCCGTGCCCTGGCTGTGGTCTGATACATCGCGTCTGCTCCCGGCGGTTCTGCTCTCCCCAGCCCCGGCCTGTGGCTGCAGGACCGGCGGCTGCAGGGCCGAGAAGGGTGATGGGCGCTCTCCCACCCCTCCACGCTTCGCACGCCCGGGGGGCTCGGGGGTACCGAGAGCGCCGCCCGCCACCGGCTCTTGCAGCCCCCGCCCATCACCGTGGGACCCGCCGGCAGCCTCCGCGCTGCCGCTCCCTCTCGCGGCGGCCGCTCCGAGCGCAGGCGGGCGCTCCCGGGCCCGGCGCACGGCAGGGTCCGGCGGTAGGAGCGGGACCCCCGAGGGGCTGCTCGCGGGAGCCGGCGGCGGCGGGAGCGGGGAGGGTGCGGGGATGGGGTGCGGAAGGAGGTGCCGGAGATGGGGGTGCGGGTGCGGCAGCGCCGGGGGGGCGGGAGCGCTGCGCCGGGGACCCTGCGTGTCCCGACCCTTCCCGCTGATCCTCCTCCCGCGCCTTGGTTTTGTCTGGGGGCAGGAGCCTGCGGGAGCGTCGGGAGCCCGGGGAGGGGCCGGGGTGGAGCCGGCGGACAGCCCTCAGCCCAGGGCACGGGCACCGGGACAGGGACAGGCAGGGACGAGCGCTCCGGGGGAAGAGGCAGAGCAGCCCTGCCCGCCGAGGTGAGCGGCGGCGAGGAGAGCGGCATCGGGGACACGGCTGCTTCAAACGGGGACGCGTTCGCAGAGGATCTGCCACCCACCCTCTCTGCTACCAGGCTCTATGTGGGACGGAGCTGGCCATGGAGAAGTTGTACTTGGCGGGGAGCAGCATATGGACCATCAACAGCTCTCTGGGGAACGGCAGCCTCCGCATGGAGAACCAGACCTCCGGGAGGAACAGTACCACAGACCCCCTGAAGAGGAACGAGGAGATGGCCAAGGTAGAGGTGGCAGTCCTCTGCCTCATCCTGTTCCTCGCCCTGACCGGCAATCTGTGCGTGCTGCTCGCCATCCACACCACCCAGCAGAAGCAGTCCCGCATGTACTTCTTCATGAAGCACTTGAGCATCGCTGACCTGGTCGTGGCCATCTTCCAGGTGCTGCCCCAGCTCATCTGGGACATCACGTTTAGGTTTTACGGGCCAGATTTCCTTTGCCGGTTGATCAAGTACTTGCAGGTAGTGGGGATGTTTGCTTCCACCTACATGCTCTTGCTGATGTCCCTGGACCGGTGCTTGGCCATCTGTCAGCCGCTGCGGTCTCTGCACAGGAGAGCAGACCGGGTCTCTGTTCTCCTCACCTGGCTGCTGTGCCTGCTGGTCAGCATCCCACAGATCCACATATTTTCTCTGAGGGATGTAGGGAATGGGGTTTACGACTGTTGGGCAGATTTCATCCAGCCCTGGGGATCTAAAGCCTATGTCACCTGGATAACCCTGATGGTCTACATCATCCCTGTGTTGATGCTGAGCATCTGCTATGGCTTGATCAGCTTCAAAATCTGGCAGAACGTGAAGCTTAAGACAGCTCATGGGCCCAGCATGAGCTCCAGCTCCCACAGGGGGACAACATTTGCCAGGGTCAGCAGCACCAGGCTCATCTCCAAAGCCAAGATCCGAACAGTCAAAATGACCTTCATCATAGTGTTAGCTTTCATAGTGTGCTGGACTCCCTTTTTCTTTGTGCAGATGTGGTCTGTGTGGGACATGAATGCTCCGAAGGAAGGTATGTTCTCTCCCTTCCCATAGCTCTGTGTTTGCATGGACTGCTTAGCTCAGTGGCCGTGGGGACACCAGCAGCAGACTCACAGGCTGCAAGTGGCAGCCAGAACCTCTGCTCCAGGCTGGGTCTCAGGGGGCTGGGAGGGAGGCAGGAAAAGGCCCTGAACATGGAAAGCCCACCCGACAGGCAGCAGTGTCTGAGCCTCAGCTTCCCCAGGGGAAGCAAGGGCTGGCTGAGCCCGGGCAGGTTCAGGGCCACCACAGCTCAGGTTTGGTCAAGCTGTGTGGTTGTGGTGGCCAGGGAGGTTTTTCACTGTCCCCAGGGGTGTGATCTCAGCCCTCTGGGGTGCTCTGGGGTCTGTGGTGGTTTGATTGCCCAGCCGGGTGCTGGGATGAGCCAGGAGAAAACAGCAGCATTAGTGCCCAAGTTTTCTTCTTCTTGTTTTGTCCTCACTGACTTCTTTGCTTTCCACTCTTTTGCCCTCTTTTCCCTCTCCTCTTCTCCCGTTTCCATCCACCCTGGACCATGTTGCTGTTACTTTATCTCTGACCGGAGCATGGTTTGTGCAGAAAGCCACTGATTTATGAGCAAAGGCTTTTCCTAAAGGATGTGGTGTCACTGATTTGTCATTTCTTACACTTGGCGCTGGCTGCTCCTGTCATCACTAAGGCTGAGGCAGAGTAAAATACATTAGTCTCACACACTTGTAGCTGTGCAAGTCTGTGCTGTCACCCGGTGGAGGTGTCTGATGGTCCCTCTGCACCTGCAAGGAAAACTGCTTGGGAAAGCTTAGAAGAAAAACTCTGCACAACTTTGTGAGGTGGGAGAAAGGGAAAAAAGCGCCTCCAGGGATGGCAGCTCTTTGGGATGCTTACCAAGCTCAGCAGAGATGCTGACCCTGGCGATGCCAAGGAGGGGTGAGGAGCTGCAGCCCCCTCCTGGCTTCCCCAGCAGCCCTGCCACAGCAAAGGGCTTCACAGTGTAGGGCACAGTTCGCTTACGCTGTGAACTCTTTTCCCTTCTTTAAGCCTACCCCTGAGCTCTGACCCTCATCTTTTAACCTTGTGTGTGGGAGAGCCTGATGTCTCCTGCAGCCCGCGCATGCCTTGTCTTCCTGGGTCAAAGCTGGCAGGAGCCGAGCGGGCTTACTTCGCCTTCCTTGCGCCTCTCTGCGCTTCTGTTCCGGGCGGAGGAGCACAGCTCTTGAAGCCTCCCTCCGTGCACCCTGCGGCCGGCTCGTTTTCCACCTGGTTTAGGCTGTTTAAACGTCCAGTTTCCAGCTCACCCTGGGGTGAAGCAGCGTCTCTCCCCTTTGCTGTATTTTAAACCTGCAATCTCGAGGGCTTTTGCCTGACGCATCAGCAAACAAACCTCTGCCGCTCTGCTGGTTCCTGCGGCGCGGAGCAGGGGGTGCCCAGGGGCTCACAGATCGCACCCTTCCTCCTGCTCCGGGAACTTCCCTTTCTCGCTCTGTGCAACTGGCTCTGCTATGCTGTTCCTTTTGATTTGCTGTTAGGTTGAGAGGAAAGCTCCAGCCCTGCCGAGTTGTAACAAACTCCCCTCTCCGTCACGTTTCCATTGCTCGGGAGCCCGTATCTGTTGTAAAGGGTGGGAGTTTGGTGTTCATGGCACAAGGAGGAAAAGCTCGGGTGGGTTATTATGGATAGCAAAAGCCAGGAGACCCCAACCCTTCCTCCCAGGCCCACCCTCCTCCTCCTCACTGTTTGCCCAGAGGCAGGGTCAGACCTCTCTGCAGAAGAAAGAGGCTTTGCCTGCAGTGTTCCAGACAGTGTTGTCCTGCATCCCGCATCTCTTTCCTTTGCACCGAGGCTCAGGCTGCCTCAGCTGGGCAGTGTGGCGGGGTGCCTGACAGAGGTGTACCCAGCAGGAAGGGAGTTTGGCTGTTTCTTACCTTGTAGGCAGCATGGGCATAGCATCAGGGAGGAATGGAAGCTGGTGGGCAGGGTGCTCAGGCACAGGCAGGCTGCACCCTGGGAGATGATGTGTAGATCACAAAGGCTGTGTGAGGGAGGGTCACCTACTTAGGAAACGTTTAGTTTTGTCCACCTAGGATGTCACCAAGGGTGTCCCTGACAAGGATGAGTCTGTTTATACCTTACTGAATCCTAATTAGTGCTGAGCAGGGGCCCTACAGTTTTGTGTGCATTGCATCCTGGAGCGTGGTGAGATGCAGATCTTGGGCATTAGCAGAGGGATGCAGGGTGCTTGGTCTGCCGTGGGTACAACTCCAATGCTGCTCAGGGCTGTGCTTTCACCTCTGCAGGGTGAGAAGTCTGCTGCAGTTTAGCATGTGTTGGGGGTAGAGATAAGACTGTCAAGAAAACAAACAGAGGGAGCCCTCCTTTCTGAGCTAGCAAAGTGATGATCAGAGAGGGCTCACTCCGCTAATACCGATCCAGTAGCTTTATACACGAGTCCTCATCACTTCACAAAACAGCTTCAGTGAAATAAGGCAAGTGAGGCACAGAAGCTGCACCCCTGCCCCTGCTGTGCCAGTGTCAGCATGGGGCTGGGGTCCCATGCTGCTGCCCACCTGCCTGGCCCCAGTCCTTGTCTCCCCCAGCCCTGCTGTCACCCTGCCCCGCACACCAGTGATCTCCACCTTTGCTGGCCATGCAAACCTACAGCCCCTGTAAGTGTGGGTTGAAGCTGCACTTTATGGTTCAGGTGCCAGCTTCAGCACCGGGGATCCTTCATAGACCATTGGTTATAGCGAGGTTTCTGTTGCGGGCACCTTACAGATAATATACATTTCATGTGGCATTTTGAGCTTTGAGTCAGAGCTGGCTTAAAGCACCCATGAAGATAATAGCAGGGCTGTGAAGCAGCGTAACTGTTATATCGATCCTTTAATCTTGGGAGCTGGTGTCCTGAAGCGTGGGCTGTGAGTGATGGCATCTATCTGTTTGTGGGAATCAGTGAACAATCCTCAGTTCATCTCTCCGCTGTAGCGGTGTTGGCAGCAGAGGTCCCACAGCACTTCCCAGGCACAGCCTTCTGCCTCCGCTGATCCTTCCTGACAGCAGGACATCCACAGGCCTGCACAGGGGATGTGCAGAGAATGGGGAGAGGGAACATATATAAAGGACAGAGCTTGCTCTTTGGAGCACCTCTTGGGGCTCTCTGGCAGTCCTGACAGAGCAGGGGGAGATCCACACTTAAAACCTGCCCTGCTGTAAACTCCATGAAATTCACTTTATCTCCTGCAGAGAGGGAAGAGCCACAGGGTTTTTTTTAGTAGGTAGAATTGCTGTGGTGTGTTTCAGGTCCTGCACCTAGGATTCGTAAACCACTCCCCATGGATTTCCTTTAGCGTTTGCTTGCAATTAAAAGTGGTTGGACCAGACATCACTAGAGCAGGAATTATGCATGAGTTGGCTAAAGGTGAATCTGGAATGTAGCATTCATTATTCACGCTTCTTCTCTAGTTTAAAAACTGCAAGTGAAGTTTTGCAGAGGCAGAAAGGGGCCAGAAACAGCCAAACATGTATATGCATCCTTACTGCTTGTGTCCCCTGAGAGCACAAGGAGATGAGAGGATGGGCAGAATAAAAGCTCTGTTCCCTGCTCCTGTCTGACTGCCATGAGGGTGTGAGTCCCACCGTCCCTTACTCAGCTGGTGGTGCTGATCTGACCTCTCTGGTGGACAATTGGGTACTTTGTGGGCTGGGAATGAAGAGGAGCAGGAGCTGGGGACTGGAGGTCCTGGCACCCTGCTGTCACTGTCCCCAGCACCACGCTTGCAGCCAGGAGCCATTGCCATGCTCCCAGGCTTCATTACTGAAATGGGAATGGCTGTCATTTTCCCTGGCAGAGCATCGTATGGGAAAAACTAATTTGGGGGAAAGAAAAACTCTGCTGGTCACCAGGGCTGGGATAGCACTGGGCAAAGATGCATGGATGGGGCAGGGCTAACAGGCACTGTCCTGTTGGCTGGGTTTTGGTGGTGGGGAGAGCCCAGGAGCAGGGGATGCTCTGGGGCCAGGGGAGGGAGTGGCTTCCCCACAGCCCCAGCAGATGGAAGCTGCCACCCTGCGCAGAATTAGCTGCTGGTGGGAAAAAATGTTTGTTCCCATCCTACTCTTTGCTATGGCAACTCCAAGAGGCCATGCTCCCTCCTCCCCGCTTTGGGCATGGTAAGGGTAAACCGTGCAGGTGATGCCGGGGGCAGCTCTTCCTCTTGTGAGGCATTTCCAGGGTAATGCCAAGCAGCACAGGAACTGAAGGAGAAATGCAGCCTTTCTGAGGGAAAAAACCTTTAAACCCAAATTGCTTAAACCAAACCTTACTTCTCTCCTTTTATTCACCATCTCTTCTCTACCAGTGCATCAGCCACGGTGTTTCTACAGGCAGGGCAGCCTATCCCTGGCATGGGAGGATGTTCCATGCTGGTGGTGTGTGCCTGGTGCCTACTCCCCCAGGGTGCTGGCTCTCTCGCACCATGCCCTAATGCCGATGTCCTTTCTGCCTTGCAGCCTTACCCTTCATCATCGCCATGCTCCTGGCCAGCCTCAACAGCTGCTGCAACCCCTGGATCTACATGCTGTACACAGGGCACCTCTTCCACGACCTGATGCGGCGCTTCCTCTGCTGCTCCACACACTACCTGAAGTCACGGCCGGCTTGCGACCTGAGCGTCAGCAAGAAGAGCAACTCCTCCTCCTTCGTCCTCAGCTGCAAGAGCACGAGCCAGAGGAGCTTCATGCAGCCATCCGTGATGTGAGGGCATTGCCTTGTGCTGCCACCGTGCTGCCTTCCCTGTGGAAAGCTGGGATTCGGACAAGCAAGGGTTTTCTATATAAATAGGTGTATACATGTCTGTGTAAGCATGTACAGGTAATATACAGATATATCTTATTTAACTGAGGCAGGAGTGAGGGGAGGATTGCTGTTGTCCAGGTTTCAGTACTGCCTGGGACTGGACACCAGAAACCCACTTCCAAGCCCCCAAATCACTGACACTGGTGGCTTTTAGATACCACTGGGAAGAACAGGTTCTGCCCCAAGCTATCCCACACTGCTGGGGCAGGTGTGCCATCTTCCCATCGGATGCAAGGGGCAGGGTGATAGATGCCGCCCTGGCACACAGCGTTGGGCACTGCCCCACCTCCTCCTGCAGCAGGAACCCCACAGGATGCCAGCATCTGGCTGGGGCAGAGCAGCAGGCACCACGCTCTCAACACAGGTATACTTGCTTTGCTTGAAGTATTGTGTGGCAGAGGCAGCCCTCTCCCTGCATCCCCGCATCCTTGTATTCCTGCATCCCTGTGCAGTGCTGCTCGGGCTTGTCAGTGGCACTGCCGACACAGAGCAGAGCAGTCCTGCCATCATGGGTTAGGGGAGCAGTGGGGACAGGGCTGGGGACAAGCCTCCCACGGGGCAACATTAACTCCTGGGTGCCCCTACCCTTGCCCAGCTCTGCCCCATGTGCCTTGCTCCTGCAAGGCTGTGCAACGGGTCAGCAGGAGCCAGGGGAGCAGACACGACTGCAGGGCCAGGGGATCTGTGCAATAACAGGTTTGCTGAGTGTGCTCTAAAGCTTCTCTGAAGGGAGGCCTGTGGGATTACAGCTGGACTCCATGGGGTTTAACAGAGGAACTCCTGCAGAGACCCCTGAGGCTAAGCTTTTGCTTTGGATTTACTGCAGATTGCATTTAGTCTTTTACACCAATGCAGTTTTCTTGCTCTGTAATGCACAAGGTCATGCTTATGGCATGGATTTTTTATTGTTAAGAAATACCTGTAAATAAAGTTTTCTGACTGCGTCTTAATGGAAAGCGGGAGGGGAAGTGCAGATGGAGCAGTAGACGAAGAAAATGAAGGAAACCGATGGGAAAGAACGCTTTAAACAGAAGACCCAAGTAAGTAAGGATGCTTTTAGAAAGTAATACACCAAGCACTGAAAACCTACACTCCCCTTTATTCCATAACATCAGCTCGCCATGCCACAGCCTTTGCTGGGTGCGATGGCTGCGGTGAAGGGCAGCTCTTGCTGAAGGCAGTGGGAGCTTTCCCATGAATTCGGTGGCAGTGGGATCCAGTGGCTGCAGAGGGATGAGCCTGCCTTTGCTCATGCTGCCTCCTGGATCTGCAGCCAGGGAATGTGCAGGATCAAGGCCTGCATGCAAAGGGTAATATGATTTGGCCTTACGTGTTGGGAATGAATACAAAACATGCATTTAAATGTGCACTTGATCTTTTCCCTGTCATCAACAAGTACATTTCACCTTTCATATCCTGGCATTCCTTCTATTTTTCTGTAGTAGCTTCAAGTGCATTTGCTGAACACAACCCAGTACATGCACTCTCAGCGTGTTTTACAAGGTGGGTTTAAATCCTTAGGAAAGCATATAGCATCTTCCTCCCCCTCTCTGGCCAAGTGATGCTGCAGCCCATGGCCAGGCTCCTGCAGCATCCCCAGGCTGCAGTGGGATGGGAATGGGGAGCAGAGCTCCAGGTTTGTGGCAGTGGAAGGATATCAGATGTGCTGCAAAAAGACTTTTATAGGGGTCAGAAGCAAAATAGAGGTGCTGACACGTGAGCCCATGCATCACTGCAGTGGGGAGACCAGGATTTCAGAGGTTTGTTGGTTTCTGGCTGTGAACTACTAGAAAAAACCCAAAAAAATTAAAAAGAATATAATCCCAGTATTGTTTTTAATTCTTTTATTCCCACAAAAAGCTTTAAAAAACACTCATGATAAAAGTGGTTTTGGAGACTGACTTCTCCATACAAATATCTTAAATCACTCCATCCCTCTTGAGGCCCGGTGTTGCTAGACCATGGGTGCTATATTGCTATGGAATAATGCAGTCCACAATCCCAAGCCATTGGATGAGCACCAGAAGAAAATCTGGCTCTTTCTTGTCCTTGGCATGGCACTAGAAGAGACTTTGGCTCCAAGTCTCTGTTGGAAGCCAAGGGAAAAAAGCACATGAATACAATTGAGAATAACCTTTGAACAACGGGACCTCCTGGGCCCTGATTCAGCAAAGCACTTAAGGCCAGAGCCAAAGAAGCGGTTGAGTGCCTGGAGTTAAAGTACGGTTCACGGACAATGAGCTAAACAGATTAATTGACAGGGGAGGACACAGCTCCAAATTGGACTTTTCCCCCCTCATCCCTGTGTTTTCACTGAGCCAGAGCAGCTGGGTGCAGGCAATGTCCTGGGGGAGGCTCCTTCCTCTGCTGCCTTTGCTGTGTCAGGTATACACACTGCTGCAGGCTAGAGCTTACCCAGCATCAAAGTAAGCACGTCTACTTTAGCTGAGAACCAAGCTAAAGCTTGAAGCCAAGCTTGTCGTGTCTCAAGCTAAGTTACCAAGAGCCACTTGTTCTTGTTGCTCCCCACAGTGCTGCCTGGCTGCCGCCTCTGCAGCCCCGGTGCTGCCCACATGGTTCAACGATCCTACTACAGAGCATAGTGATGCCCTCAGATTAAGTTGTGAGCATCAAACTGCCACAAATGGTTTTGCCATTGCTGGTGGCCCATGCATATGCTCCCAGAAGGCAGACACATTTCATGCACTAATCGATCTGATTTCAAAGCTTTGCTGAAATGCAAGCACACATGAAAAAAGGTTTGTTTTCACTATTCTATCCATAAAACTTTTAGTGCATCATGATTTAATACAGAAACTTCCACAACAGCAATTATTTGCAGCAAATAATAATCCATATGCAAGTATTTCTCTTAGTGTCATGCTAGACCAAAGGGATGGAGAAGCAGGCAGGGTTTGGTCTGTTGTCCATCAGCATCTCTGCACCATTGCTTCTTGTTGCAGCCCATGGCTGTGGTCCAGGAGATGCTGCTGTCCTTCCCATGGGAACAGGGTGCAATGCAGGGGGTCCTGGAGGGCCAAGGGCTCTCACTGAGCCTTGTTGAGCTTCTCTTCTCCTAAAACTGCTGGCTTTGGGATAGAGCAATGGGCAGCCCAGCGTGCTTCTGAATGCAGGGAGCATCCCTCACGGCCAGCTGTGCTGCAGGGCCTAGCAGCACTGCGCAGGTCCCTGTGCATGGATGTCCATGTGCCCGAGGGCAGGGCACACTGCAGGAGCCACGGAATCCTGTGTAGAGGGGTGGATGTGCGAGCGGCTGGGTACTGCAGCTGTAGGGACCTAGATCTCCTTCCGGAGAGCAACTCTGATGTTGGTGCAGATCTTGGAGAGTGCCTCAAAGAACGGGTCACAGAAAGTGTGGATGCACAGGGAGTAGATCCGGCTGACGCACTGGATCTCTATCAGGTAGCTCTTGATGCAGGGCACCACTGCCCAGATGTGGCAGAACGAGATAAGGGCAAAAAGGAAGCCCCAGATGACGGCCAGGGGGATGCCCAGGATGGCAGAGAGCAGCCGGTAGCACCAGTACTTGCTGACAGTGAAGGTGGTATAGCTGGCTTTCCAGACGCCGTCAAAGCTGTATGTTCCCACAGGCTCAGCTATCACATCCTCAAAATCCACCTGGGAGGAGAGAATACAGAGGTAAAGGAGGTTTGGGTAATGAAACCTCAAGGCTCCAGTGCAAGGATGAGGATCCACTGCACCATCAGAGCACAACCTGAATGGAGGGGGCTGGGGAGAGCAAGGGCTATGCTGGGGAGATGGATGCTCTAAACCAGGCATGACCGTTCAGAACACATTCCCTGGTCCCAAACCCTGAGCTGTGGATGATGCTTCCAGGCACAAGCCTGCCAAACAGGAGCTGTGCATGGGAGTATTTACTCCAGAGGAAGCCAGAGCCCATTCCTACCCTTTTTTAGCATTCAGGCACATGGGCTGCCTGCTCAGCCAGAAGGTGGCTTGTGCTGATAAAAATCCAACAGCCCTCTTCATTTGTGATATATTAGTTTATGTATGCAAGGGCAAAGTGCTCTGTTCTGTCTGTCTGGGCTCCTTCTGCACAGGAAAAGAGATCAGCTGGGCCATGCCCTTACAGGGACAGTGCTGTTGTGTGCATGTACTGGGAGTGTCTCTGTGGTAAATGCTTTCAAAAGCCTCTGACCTACATGTAAAGATCTCATTTCATGTGGTGTAACTGATTTCTAGGGAATACATGAGCCATGCTATTTGCTGTGAAAAATACCATGGCATTTCTTTGGGATGCTAAGGTGTCTGTTTGCACATTTATGTTAAACCGCAATCTCCATTCAGGTTTTGGAAGCACTTGGATCATGAAATCATTCTGCATCATCTTTAATTTCCTAGAGTGGGCAGGAGGGAGAAAACATTGATATGGGTAAAGAACCAGCAGCCAAGTTACCTGGTGCTGGGGTGCCTGGGGAAAGCCCTGCTGCCCAGGGGCTGGGACTGAGCTGCAGGTCACTGCACAGCTGCCTGGGGAGCTAATCAGGGGTCAGTTAACGAAGGGAGCACCAGGCTGTAAGAGAAGAGTCTTGGGGTTGCTGTTTCCTTTGCTCACAGTGCACCAGGAGGGTCTGGAGGACTGGTGGATGCAGAGTGCTGGATCCCAAGCTGAACCTAGGCCTTGCTCTGACGTCCTTACATGCAGGTACTGCTCTGTTGTTTTATACTTTGCCTAGGAGGAGGCTTTTAAAGCTCTGCAAAGCCTTTGTGGCTGTGCCACCACTGTAGCTATAATGTGGTCTCAGATTCTGACTGTTGCACTGTAATGCTCAGGATGCATTTATCTATGGCCACCTGAGCCCTCCAGCCTTAACCTTCAGCTTTAGCACTCTGCTTCTCTCCTTACCTCCACTAGATGCCTTTCTACTTGCTGTGCTTTAGGAGCATTATATGGTTTCATGCACTGGGTGTTTCTGAGTGTTGCTGCCCACAAGAGAATAGAGAGGCTTTGGTTTTCCCTGCAGCAGCCATGGGGTGAGCTGTGCTTCCTATCTTGGGGCTGGCTCTGCCCCCCATCCCCAGCCTTATCGGCTGTGCTATTTTTAAGGTGGGAGGAATGCTATGGAAGCTGAAGGAGCAGCAGCATGGCCATGTGAGTGTGTGAGCTTGGAAATCCTTTACAGGCTTTTGGGGATCCCTGAGTGGGAACAGGCAGAGTTGGGGAAATGGGGTTGGTGTGAAGGCTTAGCGATGGTCTGGAAAGTGCTGCTGTTACCCCTGGGGAGCAGGTAGGTGTGCTCCTGAGTGCTGCTGGGCATGGGGTCCCATTGGGCTGAAGGCTGTCCCAGTCCTCACCAGCATGGCTGGTGGCAGGGTGGTGCTGCTGCAGCCCCACACCTCTAAACATGGTCTAAGGCTGATGAGCCCCTGGCATGGTGTGACACAGATGTGGGACACGCTGCTGGGAACATGCTTGAGATAGCGAGGTGCCTGGCAGCTGTCACAGCCACGTCTCGCTGTGCCGGAAGGGTGCCCATCTATGGCTGTCGCTGTCAGCTCATCCCAGAGGCTTTGAACTTGACCTGGGGTTTAGCTGTAATAGTGTTTTAATGCATAAATGCAGGCTTATGTTTCAGCTGTGTAATTAGGCTCATGGCATGTTACAAAGCCTTTGTGAGCAGGCTCAGTTCATGCTGTCCCTTCTAGCACGTCATCCACTCTGGTCTCTCAAATACAGTTTTAACAAAACCTTTCCATCTCCTCCTGTTCTCCTTTGGTCCAAGCTTATCTTTGGCATAACACTAACAAAGCTTAGAGCAATTGTGTTTCAGTGGTGAGCGTTCCGGAAAAGGTTTCCCTGTTCAGCTAGACTGAGAATTCCTCTTGATCAAAAATAGACAGGAGGAGGCTTGCTGCACCCTCCTGCTGCTGCGGGGGAAAACAATCTTCACAACAGGACAGCACGTATCAAAACGGTGCTCACAGTCAGGTCCTAACGATTAGCAGGTTTTTCCCCAGGTTCCCTTTAGGTGAGTGATGTGGGCTGACCCTGTTTATTTTTGACTTCCCACTTGCTGGTACAAAGGAAGGTGTCTCCGTAAGTATAAGGCTACAGTCTGTGAAGCTGGAGAGAGCATTCAAGGAACAGGGAATACTGCATTAACTGGAGTCATCAAGCCAGCATGTCTGCCCCTGGCAGCAGGTCTGTGGCTTCTAGCAGGTTATCTCCCTGTTACCCGAGGTAACCACCTCTTGAGGCACTTGTACTGGGGAACTGCAGCCCTGGCTGGGGCCAAGCCAAATACAGAATGTTAATACCAGTACACTGACTGCATTAAGGAGGCAGTGATGCTTCTAAAACACAGCGCTGAGAAAGTCCTACCTTTACAACGTCCTCGTTTATATGCTTCGGGTCTCTGTTCACCAGGTCGATCTCCTTGGTGTGCTGGTCCTTGATGATGATCCTCTCCTCCAGGTCTGTCTGCTCCTCGGCCATGGCCACCCTGCTGCCAGCGTGGAGGGTCACAGCGGAGGGAATGGGGCTCTGCGGTAGGAGGACCGGGGCAGGACGCGGTGTGGAGGCCCCGGCCCCCCTGCCCGCGGCAGCTGCCCCTGGCGCCGCTCCAGGCTAAAATTAATGTCCTGCCTCCCGAGGCCGCCCCAAGTGTCCCTTAAAGGGGCTTTGCTGGGGACAGCCCCTGCACTGTCACCTTGGGGGGTACCTGTATGGGTGGCACCCTCAGGGCAGGGTGGTGCAGGGGGGGCACGCACCCCCAGCAGTGCGGGTGGGATTTGACCCTCGTGTGGGGAGGCAGCATGGGAGAAATGATGCCCAAACTGGGGCAAAAGTCCTCAAAGGCCTGAGAGAGGTGGTTGTTTACAAGGGAAATTACTGATCTCTAAATGAAGAGCCTCAGGGGAGATGGGAATCGCATCTATAAATATCACCCAGAGAAGCCACATTGTTCTGGGACAGCCAGCAGGCTTTGGGGTCCCTGCGGAAGTCCAGAAGCAGCTCACGGTATCGGTTTGGATTCCTTCAGTTCCAGATCTTTCATAGAGAGAAACCTGAGGAATCCTACAAGACCAACTCACAGGTCTATAACAGCCCAAGTATTTCCTCAATGGACACTGGGCACAGTGATATTTAGCATATTAATGAAGTTTTATTTACCTCGTGCTGTATTTTGATAACGCTCATCCATCTCTTCAGTGCTCTCTTGGGTCTTGTCAAGTGAAGATTTGTTTAAAACAAACAGTTTTGTAGGAAAAGGACCAAACAAACCATCCCCAAGCCAAACCAACCAACCACCATCAAACCAGCCACCCAAAGCCTCTGGCAAATCAGTTGTTTATAGGCACTTTCATGTGAAGTAGCGTTGGGATAACCGGCCTCTGTTCTTCCCTTGTGTGCCCCTTTGGTTACGGCTGCTCTGAACTCTCCCTATGCAGTGCTGGCGATGGTTGGTGACAACCTGCTGTGCGGTAGGGGTGGCACAGCAGGTGGTTGTGACTTACCCCTGGGTCAGCACCACACACTGCAGCATTTGGGGGCAAAACCTCTTTGGTGGGGACTGTATATGAAGCTCTATTAATGTTGAGTGTTCAAGAGATGCGTGTGTCTGAGCTGTTCTTGAGCCTTATTTCTTTTCTATCTCACACGTGAAATTGCAAAGATGAGTGTGGTACCTCCAGCTGGGAAGTGCTTTGGGGTTTGTGGTTGGGATGGAACATTGCCGCTGGCAAATGACACCAGAATTGCTTTGTGGGAGCAGAGCAGGAAGGGGCACCCAAAGAAGCCTTGCTGATGGCCCACAGGCAGACCCAGGTCTGGTGCTGCTGTGGGTGCATCCTTTTCCCTTCCTTCTCCTGGGCATGCTTTCTGTGCTGGTACAATACAGCAGAAGTATGAAGGGGTAGAGAGGAAAGGATGTATGGCTCATTTCCCTCCCTATCTCAGGTATCCGTACTTACAGCTCCTTGGAGGTATGTGAAGTGGGGTCCAAATACCTTCAAGCTTCTGGAGCTTAATCCTTCAGTGCCAAGTTATCATCATAAGCTTGGGTTTATTTTGGGCTGCACAGTCTGGTCTAGGAATGTTTATTTGGATGAGGAAACATTGCCTGGGTAGCTCTAACATCAAGAAATAGTGTTTCTTTGTGGACCTGAGTGGAAAAACCCAGAAGGGTGCAGTGTCCTGCTTGAGTCTCTGCTAGTGAAGTGAAATTGGAAAACAAACCTAAGTCTGAAGTAGACCTTAATGTAAAACAACAAAACAAAAAACTCTGGACACAAACTGAAGATCATTATTGGAACATGCAGTTTCTAGAATGCCTTTTCAAAGGACTATTACAGCAGGAAGCAAACAGCTACCATGGAATCTGAATTGTCAGGTAAAAGCCTTCATGTATTGCAAGTCATACACATGTAAAGTGGTGAAAGAAGTGAAGATGTTGGGGCTTAGAGCAGTCTGGTCTGGTGGAAGGTGTTGCTGTCTGTGGCAGAGGGTTGGAACTGGATGAGCTTTAAGGGTCCTTCCAACCCGAACCATGCTGTGCTTCTTAATTAAGGAGGAAGGATCAGTGCCCTGGAGATGTCTATACAACTGTTGAGCACGGTAGAGACCGCTTCAGAACTAATGTGTTCAGCTGGCATGGCAGGGAGGTATTTTAACAGCAAAAGGCTGCCGCCTTCCAAAACCATCAATGCTGACTTTATCAAACCTTTGTGGCTTGGTGCCTGGAGCTTTCAGTTTTGTTCCAGCCCTTTGAGTTGATATAATACAGTGCAAAAATGGGATTGTGCTCTTTCATTTGGCTGAGGTGTTGCGTGTCTCTCGGACATGTTCATTTTTCCTGAGAACTTGTGATGGTGGGAGCCTGGCTGAATGTTACTGCAGGTTGAAGGCTGCCAGCCTCCTCTAACTCCTGCTCAAGGTGGTTTTTCAGGAGTCAGGATGATACCTCAGTCTGAAAACTGTTTTTCTTGGGATTTCTGCTCTAGTGGAAGAAGACGTGGTGATGCCCTGGTTTATGGCACATCCATGGCTAAAGCTGCGATGACTGCATCTTGTCCGAGACACCCCTGCCTCCTTCAGTAGGGAGAGAAAGGGCAGAACTGGGGATGGGAAAGTAAGCATACAAACCCACGGGGTACTGCAAAAGTAAAGGAGGCACCTACAGAGAAGGGATGAACTCTGTGAAGGTTTGAGCATGGAGGTGTGGGTTCAAATCTGGGCGGGTTGCTTCTGGAGGGGAGTGTCCATCACTGACCCTATCCTGGCTGTGCTTCTGCAGGACAAAGGATGCTGGAAAACCCTTCAGCAGCACCAGTTCCCTGTCCCTGGATCTCTCACTGGTGACTTGAGCCGAGGTGGCTCAGTTTGATCCTGTTCCTTTGCCTTCCTGCTGGGTTAACAGGCACAGCTGCAGTGCTGAGAGGGATCTGCAGGCAGTGAGCTGCTGCTGCTGATGGTTAAAAGTGCCAAGAGCTCATAGGGTGTAAAAGTACCTGGAACTCAGTTCAACACAAGCTGCCTGTTGGTCTCTGCCCTTTGGTGGGGCTTTGAGACCCCCTTTTGGTGACCCAGCCCTCTGCCCTTGGTGCCATCACTGGCTCAGCAGCAGTAAGAGCCCAAACCCAGCATGGGCTGGTGTTGCAAGTAAAAACTCCATGCTCCAAAGCTTAAGTCCCGCTCTGTCACAGCTGAATTCCTTTCTGTCAGAGTTCCATAGCACTACTGCTGCCATGGCTGAGCACTTCAAAATAGACTGTGCAGGGTGGTTTTGCAAGGTAAGCTGGTTTTCCCTTACCCGGAGCTGAAGGCACATAACAGTACTGTGAGCGGAGGCGGTGTGCGTGAGTAACAGCGCTCTGATGGAAGAGCAGCACTCGCTTGGCTGGTGCCCAGCACCCAATTTAGGAGCCACAGCTGCTCCTGGCAGTGCTGTCTCCTGACAGACGGAGCAGCACTACACAAGGTATTTGTCCTGCTGCATTTTCCTCCACCCATCCCGCTGGAAGGCTTTGCACCAGGACAGGGGTTGCTGTCCCCATGGTCAGGGGGGCTCAGCCGGCTGCCCTGAGCCCCATGGGCTGTGGAGCGGATGGCAGCACGGTTGTGGGGTGCCACACGCACTCTTCCCTCCTTTGCTGGGCCCTGCCCATCTCTGGTGTGGGATTTCTAGCAGCGTGAGTCACTTGCTGTCTTTAGGCTTGGGCTGGTCCTTGCTGTCTGCACCCAGGCATGCAGCTTTGGTGTCCCAGGCGTGGGAGTAGGAGAATGTGGACCCACGTAGTGGTTAACGTGCAGTTAGCAAGAGTCAAGTAGCAAGGAGAGAGAGGAGGAATATTCTGTTGCACCACAGATGCTATAAATAAATATATTTCCGAGCACTTTAAGACTGTGAATGGGACACAACATAAAAGCTGCTGGTGTGCAGAAGCTGCAGTGGGCTAACAGTAGTATTAGTTTGTTAGTAACTGATAACAACCAGAAGTTTAATTGCTAAGTACAGGTGATAAAACAATAGCGATTTCAGCAATTAGTAATGCTCCCCTGAAGATGGTTATAGATATGCATTGAAAGAATTTGCTGGCCATGCCTTGTCCTGTGGAGACCTTTTCCCAACCTAGTGATGCAGAGATGCCAATAGACGTTAATTTCTTGGCAGTGCCCTTCTCTAGTACCAACTAGTGTAATAAATTAGCCTTGCCTTTAAGTATAAAGTCCAGCTTTCATATAGCAAATGCATTCCTCTTTCCAAATGAGGGGCTTCTCCTTGCAGAGGTTTTCATGCATCAGCCTGCCCAGGTGAGTCCTGAGCTCCAGTTGCTCCTTTCCTCCTGTGAGCACAGCTACCCTCAGCCAGCCCTTGTCCGTCTGTCCAGCATTAAGCATGAAGGAAGGGGATTCAGGGGCCCACAGAAGGGTGGGCAGATGGAGTGTTCCGGCATGCATGGAGTACACCTGGGTGGTTTAAAACCCAGCTCCCTCCCTGGTGCAGGAAACTGGGGTGCTCATGACCAGAAGATGGTTCCTACCCTGTAAATACTGTGTTGCCCATGGCTACTGCACTGAGAAGCCTTTTTTGTTCACTTTGCTGCCATCAGGCTTTCCTGCTCTAAGAGCAGCTCCTCTCAAAGCTTTGTGCTGCAGCACTGGCAGAGGAGGAGGTACAGCTCGGCATCGCTTAGGACATGTGGAACACTCCACTGCTGCTGTTTAGCTTGGAATGTTTTTCCTATGCTCCAAGTCTTGAAGGCTTTCTCTCTCCTAGGAAAATGGAAAGAGTTCCAGGTGCTCGGAGCTGGATGCTGCTCCCTTGCCCACTCCTCTCGTATACCCCAGGTGTCTGTGGGCACATGCAGGAGTCCAAGCCTAGCTGCACTCATCATCTTTTATCTTGAGAACATTTGTTATAAAACCTTGTGACAAGTTTTCCTTTGCAGAAACAAATAGTTACCATTGTGTCCCTGAGCAGCCGCAGGTGTGATTTCAAGGGAGGTTCTGCTTTTTGGCAAATAAATCAAAACCTGGGCTGGTTGTGGGACTGAAGGATTGGTACTGGGAATTTAGAAGCCTTCTATGGGTCAGAGAAATAACCTGCAGTTTGGTCCCAGCAAGCGAAATGTACTTCTCTTGAGCAGAGAAGAATAAAGCTGAAATAAAGCTCTTGGAAATCAAAGCTCCTATGAAAATAAACAGACCAGAATTGCAGTGAAGGGAATAGTAAAGAAATAGGGAGCTTTTGCTATTGAGTCCTCTGAGAGCATGCGGTTTGCCGTGGAAGAGAAGACAGCCAGGTATGAAGTGATGCTGGTAAATTAAGTGTTAGGTTAAAGCAGAAGGAATGACTCTGTGTGTAAGTCCTGACCTCGGGGGCTTTTAATCCTTTGTCTCAGTGTAAAGACGAGAGCAAATGAATATTTCAAGCAACTGGAAGGTGCCGCCAGATGGAAGTGAGGGTAAGAGATCAACTCTGCCTTCAGTGCTTGGAGCAGAGCTCTCCTTTCATCCTTTCTAAAAAGGCAAAACAAACCCTTTTAGCTCTTCCGTCTGTTGCAGGTTAAAACTCACTTTTAATGATCCATTCCCTCGTGTTGCTCCTTCCTGAAAACGGGAACCTACAAGGGTGGTCGTGCTGCTGTGTGATCCTGTCTTTGTTTTCCCTTGCACATTGCCACTGTCGTGCTGCAAGTCAGAAGAAAGTCAGAGCTGGGGCTTTTTTTTGTGGCAGGAGAATGTGTGTGCAGGATTGGTAGTGCTAGGGATGAGGTCTGGTACAGGTCTGCAAACCTAGTGATGGATCTGCAAATACCTGATCCTCTCCTTGTCTTCTTTTGCTGGCTTGAAAGCACCAACTGTGGGCAGTGACTGTGTGCCATCTGAAGTTCGCACCATGCAGCACCTGGAGTTTCATGTATGGAAGTAATTATTAAACAAGTTGGATCAAAATGCACCAGAGAAGCAAAAGCCCCAGGTAAGAAAACTCTTTAATGCATATTCTTACTGGTAAACTTGAGAGCACCTGAGGGAATTAAGCATGCTTCCAAGTGAATGGGATGGGTCTTCTCCATCTGTGTCAAATTCAGATGCCTCTGTTCCTGGTCTCCCACCTCCCAGAGGGACAGAAAACCAAGGTTCTCCTTGATCACAAGTGGTACCTTGCCCTTTTCCTGCCTGGATGTCCTCTGTGATAGTGTGAAAGAGGAATCCAGTCTTGCTGGAGCTAATAGTGTCAGAGCCCTTGGATGAAGAGCCTTGTCCAAGACCAGTGCCTGCCTCCCTGCAAGTGGCTCAGGGTCTCTTGTATTTTAGTCCTTGCTCTTCAGTCCTCAGGTGCTAATGAGTACAGAAGATACAGAGGGTAGGGGTTGAGTGACATTACCTTTTCAGAGGCAGCTGGAGTAGGTGGTTGGCAAATAAAAGTTTGAGTAGAAGCTGTACCATGTTAAATATCAATTAAAATTAAATTTCACTAAGTACAGACATTCATTTATCATTGAAGTCATCATCATTGTTTGTTTCAAATCAAAGTGTTTTGCCCTTTAAAAGAGAAAGTCTATGAATATCAAATTCATGCCCTCTGGATATGCAACCACCTGATACTTTTCCATTATTGTCTCTGTAAATGGTGGGATAGGAGCTTGAAACCTTGTTCTCAGCAGGATGCAGCAGGCTGGGGCTGGAGAGTGAGTGCTTAGGGCAGGCAGGAGCTGCCACTCTGCAGATGTGAGCTGGGACTGTCCTGGTGAAAATCCTTGCCTTTATTTGTAGTGCATCCTCTCAATGTGGAGTAGGTAGGGACAGCTCAGCTGTGAGACAAAGGACATAAAGCTGCGTTTCATCCTATGGGCTACAGTCAAATTCTTTCTTTTGCTTTTGATCATGAACATTTTTTAATTATTACCTGGATTTGAGTTATGAGATTCTCTCACTTTAGATTTATTTGTCCTGGATCTCTGGGATGTGTGGATGCTGTGTGCACACCAGCAGCAGTCAGAGCTGTTGGGTCTGGGCTGTTAGAGTGATGTGCCTGAGGGCTGGGGAGACGGGGCTGCCATCCAGCAGGGATGCAGCAGGTCAATAGGAGACCTGGGGAGATAGTAACACAGTAAGACACCCCAGGTACTGAAGGGTTTCTGCTTTTAATACTGTGTTTAATGATACCAGTGCATTGGGTATCAAGTGAAACATCTACAATGGCATTTCTTGTTATGCAGCTCATCAGGCACTAATTGAGCCTGTAAGTAACAGCCAGCTCTTTCCCAGTTCCCTCTTAATCACATTCTTCTGGCAGTGGGCAAAGAAACGTTTAAGATGTTGAACAAATGACTGTGTCCTGATCAGATGGGAGGGAGAGCAGCCTGCCAGGTGCTGGGGGAGCTGGGACCCTTCTGCAATGACTCTGTGAGGCCTGTCTGTGGGGAATGCCCAAAGCCTGGCTCTCGGATGTGCTGCGTGCTGCAGGGCTGGGGTGTCTCCTGCTGCCCTGGTAGGGGCTCCAGCAGCAGGGTCTCACCAGCCCCTGTCAAGCTGGGCTCTGTGCAGAGCTGCTGCTAAACAGTGCCAAGCCTGCTCTGAGGAAAAACAGCTTCAAGCCGCTCATGTGATGTTGTTCCTCTCTGCTGAAGGCACGGAGGACAGTTTAGGAGCGGCCCCCTTTATCTCGTATTTTTATCTCCTCTTAATCTTGTCTTTTCTCTCACACCAGCTCTCTAAATTCCTGTGGATTTTCATTTTAAAATAGCCTCACTTGGCTTTTCCTTATCAAGTGAGAGTCTTTTCGTGATTTATCACTTGTGACATAACCAGTTGGGTACTCTGATAATCAGATTTAACTAGTCGGTGTGCTGTTGATTAGAACAAGGTCCAAACTTGCCTTTGGCTATTGTTTATCCTGGTGGTGTTAGGTTTTATTTAATAACAAACCATGTAGCAGTAGAATAATGCTTTCCCTTTCAGCAAAGAGAAACACAGCTTCAAGCTGCAAAGAACAGGAGCCAGGCAATGAGTGGAGGCACTGCCAGTGTACAGAAGATTGCAGTAATGGCTTAAAGGAGTGTTTTGCTACAGTGAATACAGTGGGAAGCTAGACAGTTAAAACTGTCTTGCTGGCAAGAAAACAGACCCAAATAGGGTATTTTCAACACAGGCTTAAGGTAAGAAGAAAGTGAATGTGTTCAGTATATGCCCTGGGGAGGGCCCGTAAGAAGAGGGGCTAGCTGCTGTCCTATGCTGGGCTTCATTGCTCAGAAGGGCTCAGCCCAAGCTCCAAAGCCTCCTGTGGAAGACATCCCTGTGGCAATGCTAAGCACAGGGATCTGCAGCTCTCAAACCTGGGTGGGATTCAGAGCCAGCCAGGCAAGCTCAATGTGCTCTCCTGTGGGAGCTGCTCTCCCTGGGCAGAGCCGGAGCCCAGTGAGCCCTGGGAGGCACAGGGATGGCAGGACGGGTTCTATCCCAGTTGTGTTGTTCTCTCCTGACCTCAGCCTGTCCTGGGTGCAGGGGCCAGCACCCTTCTACACCAGCACCTTTTTGCTGCCCATCAATCCCATGAGGAGCCAGGTTGTTGGGATGCGGCAGAGGTGAGGCTGGGAGCAGATGCCCTGCTGCTTTACCAGTATATTTTTAGGAATGGCTAATTCTGCTATTCCCTGTATTGTTCAGCTTCGCTGTGCAGCACCTATTGCCAAAATTATACACAGCTCAACCAGAGCAGCAGTTGTGCGAATAAACAAGTGCTTCCATGACAGCCCAGGGCAGCTGTTTCGGCGGGAGCTGGCTGACTGCTGGTGTAAGTGGTGTTCAGGGACAGCAAGGCCAAGACACTCTCATGTTTCCAGCCTCATCAGTTGAAGCAGGAGCGTTCAGCGGGGTGCATGTAGGAGAACTGGGGTCAGTACTGCTTGCCTTGTGAGCCTCGATGTGATGGTGGAGCCTGGCTGCAGTGGCCAGCTCCCATCGCTGATAGACCTGGCATCCTTCCTCATCCTGCAGCCCTGAGCTTCTGCGGTGCAGAGAAGCCCCTGTTGTGCTGTAAGGACAGACCATAAATACGCTTCTGGTTGTGCTCCTTCATGAGCACAGGCCATGATGCAGCAGCAGGAGCACAGTGACTGTCCTGGGCTCCATGGAGGAGGGTGGGAGAACAGAACTGTGGCACCTCTCCCTGTAGCCTGTCCTCTTATTATATACTCCTGTGTAAAAGAGGGAACACAGTTTAAAGACAGGAGCTCAGAAGCCCAGTCTTTCTTTGAAAGCACAAAGGCTCAGTTGGGCTTTGAGTAAAACACTGCATGAAGTGTTTGTGTGAGGCAACCAACGCTGGATTGCAGAGAGCAATGCCTTGTTACCACTCATAAATAAGAAAAGATGATGCTCTTAGGATGACGTCATGGCAAAGATGTGCAGAGGGATTTTTGCAGTGTTGATCAATATTGCTTGCCTGTGGCATGTCCAGGAGACTCCTAGTGCCTACAGATAAAAGCCTTTCAAGCCCTCAAGGGGGGGGGGGGGGGTTAACCTCTTAATAACCCAGTGCAGAATATAGATGCCTATTTCTAGCACTGCGAGCTTTGCATGTGAAAGGTTTCAGCTGCTCTTCCCTGCCCTGTTCTTGTTCTGATCTATTGTGGCACTCCTCTGCCTGGCAGCGGCTGTCTAAAAGCTAAGTACTGGTGTGGACTCAGGCTCCAAAGTAACTGCTGACCATTTTCCCCCCAAAATAGCAATTTTAGAACTAAGTTTGATGGTCAAGCAGTGTTCCTGTGGCACCAGTGGGTTCGCTGGCAGGGTTTAGGGGGCTCCCTGCAGGTAGCATAAGCCCTAAAGTGGCAGTGGGGTTACTTTAAGCCAGAAGAAAAGATGACAAGCTTGTGAGCACCTAATATCCCAGCTTAGTATGCTGGCAGCTGCTAAAAAACAGTGCTAAAGAGATGGCAAATATAGTAACATGAAAAGAGAGTTTACCATCTCCCTGCCCTCCGGGTGAATGTTTCATCTATAGCATTACACGTGGCAGTGTGCAACTAGAAAAATGCTGTCTGCTCAGATAAAGTACATAGAAAATCAGTGGCTGAGGTTTGTAGGGTCTGAGTGATCTCTCAACCCTTAAAGTCTTTGTCAAAAGTGCCCTTCTGTTCCACAGCAGATCAGACTGTCGGGAATGGGTTGGTGTTTGATTGTGCTCAGGACCAAGTCACTTTTCTGTTCCCTCCTGGGCTTTAGCAGGATAATACATACGTTGGGCTTCTTCACTATTGATGCCTCATGTGGACATCTCAAGCTGGTGAGCTGCTCTCAAGGGCTGCTAACCACAGGCTGCAGCCACTGGGACAGAACTTAAACTTGAGCATCTCCTGCTGTACGGTAAGGACTCTATGGCAAGAGAGCCAGGCACAGACCTTAGCATGCCAAGAGACGGCATTTTCAGAGCTTCAGTATAGTTCATGACTTTAAGTCTGATTTACAGCTGGGGAGATGGGCTTCTAAGTGGAAATGAAAACCCAGTGGTTATTGCTAGAACTCCATGTCTGTTTTGTTCTAATTCTTTGCCCTTGATAAATGACAGCATTTACAGGTATTTTCTTCTGATCTTGCCATTTCATCCATCAGTGCTGTACATCCTTGCAGCCTGCCCTCCAGCTTTGAAGACTCTAAAACCCATTGACACTTGCCTTTCCCCTTTGCTGTTGCTGGCAGTGGCAAGTTGCTTCAGAAGGTGCAGCCAAAGGCACAGTATGGAAAATGGAACTTGGGCTCCAGAACATGTCCCTGCAGGTAATTCCTGGGCTGCCCCTGAAGTGTGGCCACCAGTGTTGGCTGATGAGAGTCACGGACTCCTCAGCACAGGGTGCTGCTTCCAGGCTGCCCATTCTAAGGCTTTGCTTAGCTGAACAGAAGATGGTGCCTTGCAGAGCTAAGCTAGATTCCAAATCCAAGTGCCTTTCTCCTATGCAGCCCCCACTGATACAAAGTCCATTTCCCCTAGCAGATACTGAATAACACTGAGAGGAAGCATTACTACTTTTTTTTCCTGCTGGACCTTATTTATTGAAAGCAAAATAAATCACTGTCCTGGACAAATATTATGACATTTCATTATTCACACTAAGCGTGATAAGTGAGCTGTTTTAGGGACCATGGTACATGATTTATTTAGCTTGGATGTGGATATAAATCCAGCCTTTAGAGGAAGCATTGTAACGGTGTAGGAATGCGGATGCTCTCACATCCACTGGAGCATAGCCAGTACCTATTACCTGATTTCTGGTGTTTTAATGTAAACAGGGCAACCAAGGCTGTTTGTTAAGATCTTATAGGAAATGGGTGATTTCACCAGTGTCTAAGGGGAGCTGAAAAGTGAAAGGCATATATCTGTTCTTAAACAGAATTTCCCTTCTTCATTTAACAGAAACATTCTTCAGTGCATAATGTTATTGATTACTATGGTTAGGATAAAAGGAAGAAATAGAAGTAATACTTGTTGTTTTATTGCCTTTATCGTATGAAAAACTCCTGGGTATTTCAGCCTGGACTGTCATCTCCACGAACAAAACCTGTGGATAAGTGTGTGTTGGGGTTGAGGGGAGGCTGCAGCTGGAGCTACATCCCTCCTGGTATGTTGACAGTGTAGGTCAGGGCACTTCCCCTCATCCCACTGGCTTTACATAAGATGCTTGGCTGGGCACAGCTTTCCAAGGAGCCCCTCTCTCCAGGTCCCTGCTGTGGTGCGATGGGGCACAGAGCTGTCTATACCCCAGTTGGATAGAGTTGCTCCTTCTAGGGCTTATTTTTGTGTCTAAGTTTAAATCTTACTTTAAACTTCAGAGCCTGGGATGCTTTCCTAGGTCTCCAAGATGGATAGCTGCTCTATACAGCAAGCTGTACCCTATTAAAAGAAACAGTTTTAGCCGCAAAACAAAACTTTGAAAGCTGGGAAAACTATAATACATTTTTCTTTTCTATTATGAAAGAGCCAAACCCTGTGAGGTTCTGGTGTATCTGCCATGGTTACAACTGTTTGCAGTCTATAACCCCAACTGGGTTAGCCTATATGGTCATCTATGTGCCTGCTCAGTTTGAATGCTGAAGCTTTCCAAGAGTTAACACTGGGCTGTTTGTATTTTTGTGGGTGTTGGCTGGCTAGGGCTATTTACGACAGCAGAAGTAAATGAGTTAATATTCATAGATGCCTCCTGACTATATAATGTAAATCATGAATGCCTGTGACAGTGTCCCTTGTTCAAACCACGGCACGGCAGTTGCTTAGATGGGGCTGGACTGTCTTTGTGCACAAACTTAAGGTTTCTGAAGAGTGCTGCCTCTGCCTTCAGCAGTGCAAGAGCAGGTCTGCGCTGATCACAGTGATACAGTCCTTGGTGCATGCCTCAGTAGTTAAGGTGACCCTTCATCTCTTGAGCTGTGGTGGCAGCTGGGCAATGGGGATCATCAGCAGACAAGAGACTTGTGGGCTATTGGATCTGAACCTGAGTGGCTTTCCAGGCATCCCAAAGTGATTTTTGAGGCTGATTTCAAATCTAGAGGTTGTTATGTGAAGTGGCATGAAGACAGCTATTAAAAAGCTGTACAAGTGTATGCTGGCTCTGTGGCCAGCCCCCCACAGTCGCGTGGCCACTGAGCACAGTGGAGTGGGTACACATTGCCACCAAGACCTTGCCTGGGCTATGATAGGGTTGACCACCTTCGATGTGACAAAAGATGCAGGGAGAAGGTTGGCAGCAGTGAAGGCGAAGGATGGTATAATTGCCTTTACTGCAGTGCACATTGGGCAGGTCCAATGCAGAAGAGCCATTGCTTTGTGAAGGCTTCCAAGAGGAGTTGTGATACCTGGACGTGGCTGGGTTGCAGGGATGTGGAAACGTGTCCATCTTGGGGCTGCATATCTGGGGTGGAGGCAGTGCCTGGATGGCCCTGTTTGTGCTGGACAAGGAAGGAAGAATGGGGGTGCTTGTGGGGGCTCAAGGAGCAGCTGTGAGCGAGCCACACTGAAGTTAAGGCAAAAGGTGGCCAGAAATAGAGAGTACAAGAAAATGAGTAGACAAGGTTATAATGGATGGAAGGAAAAAGTAGAAGGGAGTTTAACAAGATCCCAGCTAAGTCAGGATCAAAAGGGATTATATTTGTGCAAATCCCTCATTGGAACTGGTATCCATATGTGGAAGAAAGAAATACTGCTTTTCTCCTTCCATACACTATTTCTGGTGCTCTCTATAAAGTCATGCCCCAAGACTCGCTGGTATTTCATGAAGAAAATGCTCAGTCTTTAGGGCAAGCAGTGCCAGAGTCCAGAAAAATAGATGCTGTAATAGCCATGTGATTAAATAAATGTTATTCTTTCCCTTGTTTTTATAATAAGAAAAAGAATTTGGTGAGAAAACTTTATCACTTTAAAGACTGACATCTTCCATCACTTGAACTCTGTTACATAGATACGGAGAGGGGAAAGTTGCACATCCCTGAAGAAAACAAGCCAAGCATGTCAGAGTCTCCAAAGTGTCACAATGCAGCTGGTGGAGAGCTGTGCAGGGGCCCTTGTGCCTTGGTCACCTATGCCATGGAGAGGTGATGCTATGTCTTCTTGCTGAAAGGGGCAGGTGAGTCCTTGTTCTAGCAAAGGCCAACTCAGTGAGCTGGGATTCAACAGCTCGGCTTGGTAGTAGAGAGCTGAGAAGTCCAGGGGTGTTCACAGTCACCTCCATGGCTGAACTGCCCTTCCTGAAGAAGTGTCAGCAGGAGTCAATAGCAAGATGAACCAGCCCTTGTCCCTTGGTGGTAAAACGTAGCCTGAAGCCCTGCTGTTATTGTAGATTTGGAGCCCTTTCTTGGAAAAAGCCAAAATTATTCATCCTTAGGACACAGTGGTTATAAGCAGAAGGGCAACATTTTCCAACAGTTTTTTCCCAGACAAATATAAATACACACGTGAATATTTTGTGTGCCCATGTCTGTTTTGCCATGTTCTTGGCTGCAAATGCCCTTCCCCCACCAAAGCAGAGCAATCAAAAATCCCATTTTGACATTTTGAGCTCAATTTTTGCCAATGATATTGTGCAAATGCTTTGAGGACTGGCGCACGGGAGAAAGAGGTCACTTTGTCCATTTGCACGTCTGTTAAGAGCAAGGCAGAATATAACAGGGTTAAAAGTGCTGGGGAAGAGTCAGGTGTTAGGAGAAACAGGTCCAGTGGTGAGGATGGAGGGTGGTGAGAGTCCTTGGAGGTTGACCTCATGGGGCTGAATGGTGATAGAGATGTATGGCACTTGTAAAGCTGAATGGGAGCCCTCTTGCTATGCTAAGTGGGGTGAAATGCAGTACATGACACATGGGAAATTGTACTTCTGAGGCTTTCTCACTGTACACTGAAGTTCCTTTTCTTTGATGACAGACACAGCTCCTGTTTTGGATGAGGGAGCAATGTTTGCTCCAGATGCAAAGAACAACCTCTGAGCTGCATTGATCTGCAAGTGCAAAGCCAAGGCTAACAACAAATGTTAAATCTCAAGTGGGTCTTACACTGGCAGAAAATCCTTCCTTTGCCTAGTAAATGTGGCGTTAAATAAACCCACAAGCACAGGAGGAGCAAGAAGTGTTGATGTTCCTTTTAGGGACTGGGTGAGGTTTGTAAGTGCAGTCATAGCAGAACTGTGCTGCTCAGGTGTGTGCTGCGAGTTCCCATCTCCAAGGTTTGCTTGCATCCTGTGGAGAGCAAGTGGTGGTGCCAGGGCTGCATGGCTGCTGAGGGTCCATCTCTTTCACTTCCAGCATCTTCACTGCATGTGCTTCCCCCTGGCTCTCCCATTATCTTTTATTATAACAAGGGTATTTGTTACTCACCTGCAGCTCCAGGCAGCTTCAGGTTTCTGTTTGGGAGCCCGCCTCACGCATCTTGCAGTTTGGATACAAGTTCATAAAGTGGCTGGAGCTGAGGCAAAGCTCGCGGATTGCTCTGTGCTCCTTTGGATTAAACTCTAAGCCATCCTGCTTTTACTGCTATTGCTTTTGAGGCTGTATGTTTTTATTGCTTAGTAATCTGTGTGAAATGGCTGTAAAATGAAAATAAGAACAGTAACACTCTGAGGCTTTGAGCCTAACACTGGAAGCAGAGCTGGAATCTGCTGCAATAGCTTCCAGTTTTCTCTTCAGTGCTACTGGCCTTCAGATTGTCATTAAGAAGCAGAAACTTGATGGCAAAGTGTCCATCCTGGGAAATCCAGGAGAAGAAGAGGGGAAGGGTGCTAACCTGGATTACTGGGATTGGTGGTGTCCTTGCAGCATGAGAATCAGGAGGGAAATCATGGAGTGGTTTGGGTTGAGAGGTATCTTGAAGACCGACCCCCTGCCATGGGCAGGGACACCTTCGACTAGTCCAGGTTACTCCAAGCTCCGTCCAACCTGGCTTTGAACACTGCCAGGGATGGGGCAGCCACAACTCTGTCAGACCCCACTGGCTTCCTTTCCAAACCTAGGTGGCTGCAAGAATGGCTTTGTTCCTTTAGGAAGAATAGTATGTATAAATATGCAAAGACCCAAGCTCTGGGTTTACTGACAAGCTCTTCAAGGCAGTTGTTGGATTGGAGATGCTCCGAGATGAGCAATGCCTGGTAGTGAGGCTGTGCTTATTAGTGCTTAAAACAACATAGCTACAGGTCTGGGGACAGAACAACTTGTGTAGCCTGAGGTGAAGCTTAAAAAGAATTTGAACTGTCAAAAGCAGAAAAGGGCATTTGAAAACATAACACTCTGCTTTCCCAGTTACTTGTATAACTAAATCAGCTAACCCATGTGTCATCTACAGTCCAATTCTCCTTTTATAGTAAAAACAAATATTGGAGGGACTCAGGGCCAAATGCTGCTTTTTTTGTCAATCTACACTGTTGGCATGGCTTCCAGTGCTGCTGAGCTGTCACATCTTGACCAGAGGCAGGAGGAGTGATGATGGTTTGCACCTTTTGGAGCTGGGCTGCATCACCACCACCTTCTAGGGAAGACTTTGGTCATCCTCAGCACTGTCAGTCCCCAGTGTTCAAAGCATGTTTCAGGGACATGGCTATGGCTCTTGCTTCTCTAAAATGTCAATGATGGACTATATCAAATGAGCTGATGCCAACTGCAGTGTTATATTAATCCTAAACCTAATGATCAGGTGTTTTCCACTTGGTTTAGAAAACAAAGTTGTGGTGGTGGGGAAACCAGATGTAAGCCCTCCAACTTTCTGTTGAACAGTTTAAATGAGACGGTGGTTGGTGCAGAAGCTCTAGAAATTGAGTATATTCAGACTAAGGACTAAGAGTTTGAACTTTCTGCTGTGTAGCACTCTTATGAAGTAGTCTTTATTCTTTAAAAGCTTTTGTAGAGTCTTTAAAGTAGTTGAAAAGGAAAAGTTCATAAAGGTGACTGAAGCAGAGATGTGCTCCTCAGAGCTTTGAATAAAAAAGTAAATGCTGGTAATAGATATGCCAGCCTTAAATATTTCCTCAAATTGGAATAATTTAACTAGAGCTTTGTTTTGGATCAATATAGTATGGGAGACTGTAGAGCTGGACATGGGGAATTTTGATGCTATCAAAATATGTCAAACCTTGATTTAGAAACAGTTTTCCATTTCAGAGTACCGTATTTTGTACTTTACATAATACAAAGTGAAAAGCCTAAATATGACTGACATTTTCTTTTCCTGGAGTCTAGAGGGCTTGTTTTAGTTCAGAAAGAAGCCAAACTTTCACGTTATGTGTTTTTCTACACAGACATGAGGACTCAGGGTTCTGACTTGCTCCATAAGTCAGGAGGGCTGCACGTCCTCTGTCTGTACCTGCATCCCTGAGCAATGTCAGGCATGTTACCTAAACCTCTGCAGAGGGCAGACAGCCCTGATGTGGTTATGGGTGAGCACTGCAAAACTTTCAAAACAATGAGTATTTCAATATAGTTCTTTGAAGCATGGAGCGGATTTATGCTCTTGGTTACTTTTTCCATGATAATTCCATGGCATTGAGGTTGCATGTAGGGAAACAAGTCGCTCAGGAGAGGCTACGAGCAGAAAAAGATTTGGTTATCATAAGCAGTACAAGGACGGTGATGCTGCCTTCCAGCAGTGAGTTCCGTTCCCGGAGCGACAGCACCATCTAGTGAGAACCGGTCCCGAAAGCACACTCTCCTGCCCGGCCACGGCTCCCGTTTTCCTTGGGGAAGGTTGGATCTGGTGTATTTGCTTCCTGAAGAAAACAGCCAGACTTTGCCAGGGCTTCCTCACATTTCCTGAGAGCAGGCAGTGGAGCTTCCCGGCTTCTGCCTGCCTGGGCAGTGGGAAGCAGATGGCTGGGTGTTTCAGGCTCGCTAGAAGGGGATGAAGACAGCAGTACTTTGCCCTGTAAGAAACTGGACTGGCTGTGCAGGTATGCAGGCAGCAAAAGAGAAGCAAATGACCCTCTGAAAGGCAATAATTCCAGTCTGTCTCTAACCTTCTGCAGGTGTGTCTGCATGCTGGCCCAGTGGACAGGAGTGCTGCAATTTGAGCTGCTCCACTGAAGCAGAGGAGCGTCTACATCTGATGATGGTCCTTTTAGAGGCCCCAGAATCCTGGAGGTCCCCTATTTTTGCACATGTGCCTCTGTCCCCTCACCCTCCACAAGCAGGTTGTCAGGAAATGTTTTCTACACCCAAAACTGCAGCAGTGGAGCGGCACAATTCCTCTCCTGGCCTGGTGCTTCCAGCCCCAAGCACCAACACAAGATGTTAATTTCTCAAGCCAATTCCAGCTGTATCCTTGCGCAGTGATGGAGAAAGAGTTGCTCAGGTGAGACTTTCAGCTGTATGAATTTATCCTTTGGGGAAAAGTGCATGGCTGAAAATACCAGGGAGGAGATGATACGTCCTCAATCCAGAGTGCAGGTAAGGAGGGTGGCTCTCTTACAGGGCAACCTGGGGGTTTATTTCAATAAAGCAATTGGAGAAAACTTGTTAATCTTTCATAGTTGGGGTTTAAAATGGAGAAAATACTTGGGTTTTGAAAAGCTGGGTGGAGCAGCTGCAGCAACTGGGAATGTCAAAGTTGCAGCTCTTTGTGGCACATAAAGATGCTTGGTGTGCTTGAGTCAGGTACAAGGTGTTTCACCAAGACCTCCTGCTTTCATGGATTTTACTGCTTGTGAGAATAAAATCTGGTTTGGGTTAAATAGCAGAGATTTATTTTCTCTTCAAGTTTGAGAAGGAATTAGCTCTGTAAAATGACAGCCTTAACTTCAAATATGGTTGTTGGATGTGTTTGTAACCCACAAAACCCACAAAACAAAGGGATTTTGAAGAAGGGATTCTGTTATGTGGCAACCCATTTCATTCAAAAGATCTGTAACATACAGCTCATATAAAAGGTGCATTTAATAACCATGTTGCTCAAGTGCTCCCCACCCTTCTCATGCAATAGTGTGACATTTCATTTGCAGGGTTGCTTAAACACCATATGAACACGTCTGCATACTGAATAAAATCCTTTAGTTTAACCCTTAAACACTTCAAATAATTCTT